GCCCGGGGCAAGCCGAAGAACCAAACGCAGCACACATTCGGGGGCGGAAAATAGGGGGGTGATGACTAGGGGGGGGGGGGGATATCATGGCGGGGGCCATGATATCTCCCCAGATTTCATGGCGCCTCTTCTAATTTCATTACGTCTCTGGCCCCCCGCTGGGCCGACATGCCGCCGTCATGATTTGCACCCCCCCTCTTGGACACCCCCCTCTTGGCCGCTCCCGATGCATAGGGGAACAAAAGCAGGATACATCGGGGAACAAAAGGTATGAACAAAGCATACATAGGGGAACAAAAGCAGGAACAAGAGAGGAACCAAGAGCAGCATACGGGGCAAACCGAAGAGCCAAAAGCAGCAGACACAGGGGAACAAAAAGGTGGCATAAGCATGAACACTCGGCGGTCCGCGACAGGCCTGGAGCCTGGACGCTGACGTCGCCTCGAAGACGAAAAATTCGCCATAAACACAAACGCTTGGCGCTCCGCGCGGAGTTCTCGGATCCGCGCCTGGGGCCCCCCTGGCGGCGCCTCCGGCGCCGCCCCTGGCGCGCTCCGCGCGCCAGGGAGGGGGGCCCAGCTCAGATCCAAGAAATCCGCGCGGAGCGCCAAACATTTCATGTTTATAGCGTTTTTTCTTTTTCTATTATTCTGTATCTAGGCCTCCCAGATGGGGCCGGAATAGATGGGTCGGAGGATCGCGCCGCATCGGCGATGTGGCTCGACGTGGGGCCCGATTGGCTTTACGTCGACGTCGCCGATGCATCGCCCACGTCGACGATGCATCGCTGGTGCATCGCCGAAGCATCGCCGATGCGGTGCGTCCCTCCAACCCCATCTACTCGGACCCCATCTAGGAGGCCTCTAGATTAGTAGGTCGACCCTGCCAAATTAAAAGCGCCCTTGTACCCTGTGTTTCTTCGACCCGTTCCTTCTTCACTCCTATGGCAGTGTGGCCCTCGGAAGGGTCGTGTGTCCTCGCATGTGTGTCCTCGCCAATCGACCCCGACTGCGAGCATCAACTCTCGGAGCTTCGCGCGGAGCTCCAGAAGTCAAGGTTCGTACAGTTTTGTTCTACTAGCGTTAAGTCAGGCCTGTCCCCTTACAGAGGGCTTTTCGACGAAAAATAAAACATACCCCCCAAATAGTCAAGAAATAATCCAACAATAGTCCGGGGACTATTTTTGGAATATTTCTTGACCTTTTTGGGGGTATTTTTGTTCATCGAAAATCCCCCTGTAGGGGGCCAGGCCCGACATACTACTAGCGCGAGGGGGCGGGGGTAGGCCGCCCTGCTTCTCGTTCGAGTTTCATCGATTCCGACTCCAAGTCGGTCCGCCTTCGGATTCCGCCTGGAGCTTTTGGTTTCTCGACGGACGCTTTGCCAGCTTGCCGACGTGTCTTCCGCTCGAGCGTCTTCCGACTTTTGGCTGCCGCTGTCCGCCGGTCCGATTCATTTCGATCGCCGCTCCGACGGATCGATTCGATTCCGAGCTCTCCTGGGTAGACTCGGGCGGGTGCATCGTACCTCCAATCGGGTCCAGTCCCGCGGTGTGCACAGTGACGATTGGATCGTCAATCTGTTTGTTGCGCCCTCTCATTTCGCCTCCTCCTCTCCCTCTCCAAGAGCGTATTGGAAAGCAGCAGCCCTCACCCGCCCATTGATCGCCGCGCCCTTTTGTGGAGACGCGGCTGCCAGGTGCAACGTCAGAGGAGGGTAGATCTCCGGAGGGGAGGATCGGTTCGAAGAATTCTGGCGTTTTCGTTGGTTCTCGGTGCCTTTCCTTCCTCGGGGTGCTCTACAGCGGCTGCGCCTCGCCGAGAGGCGTCCAGGAATGCCCCGACGGTCCCGAACAGCCACCGGAGGCCCGAGAACTGGCCCGAAAACCAGAGGACTAGGATCATGGGGGGGGGGTCGGCCGCGGGGGCGTGCATCAACCTTCCAACCCATCATTGATCGTCGCTATAGGGGCCCGATAGCCCACCCCGTCCAGTGGCGTGCGGATTCGCCATCGGGGGCCTTTCGCCGAGGCATCGGCGATGCATCGCCGATCCCAGACTTATGATGTTCCTGCCTACTTCAGCCTTGATCACCCGAATACAAAAATCGAGCACCGAGGAGGTAACGAAACTGCAGGGATCTCACGTGTCGGGCCCCGGGAGGCGAGACGCGTTCGACGTGGTCTCGGTACTTTTTCGTGGTGCTCGAACTTATCTCTGGGATGTGGTCCTTCAGCACGATGGGAGCAAGATAATCCCAGACCCCCGACGTCGTGTTTTTTTTTCGCAACGTCGACCCCCAGAGGTCTGGACCCCTTCCTTGGGACCGGTTCTTCATCCCGAGCCGTCGTTCGACGCTGCCGTGGGGGGGCACGCCCTGCTCCGACGCGAGACGGCCCGCAGGCTAAAAGACGAGGAGGGCATCACTCAGGAGGGAAAGAAACACACAGACACAATGATTCGTCGACCCCCAGGAAAACATGCAAAAACATGGGGAAGTGTGGGGGAAGACAAAAACCCCTAAAAATATAGGAACATGTGGGGAATCTTTGTATTTGTGTGTATTCATTTGTGTGTCCCCGGGCCCCTTCACAGACCCCCGCGCGCCGTGAAATCCTCACGGCGGGAGGTGTCGTTCGCCATTCTCGGCCCTCGGGGGCCCCGGCCTTGCGGCGCCGGCGTCGCCGACCCTGCAGGGGCAGGACGACCACGGCGGCGGCGGCGGCGACAACGACGCTGACGTGGGTCTGAGTCTTCATGGATGCTTCTTGGGGTCTCTTGGAAGCGCTCTCGGCGCCTCTCGGGGGCCTCTTGGGAGCCTCTCGGGGGCCTCTCGAGGCTTCCTGGGGGCCTCTTGGGGGCCTCTTGGGGCCTCTTGGGGGCCTCTTGGGGGCCTCTTGGTTCCTCCTGGGAGCCTCTCGGGGCCGAGGGCTCGAAATGTCCGTTCTGGTCTCTCGTCAGGGCACCCTCTTGGAGCTGTCTTGGGGGCCTGTCGGGTCGTCTCGGGAGGCGTCTTGGGTCGTCCTGGGGCCCTCTTGGGCAGTTTTGGGTTCGTCCTGAAGCCCTCGTGGGCCGTCTTGGAGCGATCTGGGGCCTCTTGGGCCGTCTTGGAGCATCGAGAAGCGGAAGAGGCGAGAACGGTGAAATGCATCAAACACCAATGGGAAGTCAATGGTTTTTCCTCTCGGGGCCCTGTTGGGAGTGCTCCTGGAGGCCTCTTGGGGCGTCTTGCAGGGCTCTTGGGCCGTCTGGAGGCCATCAAGGCGTCTTGAACAAATCGTTCGGCGATTCGGGGCCCTCTTGGAACCTCTCGGGGTCCTCTTGGGGCACTCTTGGCCCGACTTGGATCGGTTTGCGGGTCGGGACCCCCCGGGGGGAGTCGTATCTGATCCGGGACCCCCCCCGGGACAGTCCGGGACCCCCCCCCTTTCCTTGGAATTCCTTTTCCCCACTCCCCAGCGGGACTCTCTATGCATGGAACTCGGACTGACTCCTACAGGCAAGATTACGTACCAACCCGCAGATGCGGATAAGAGTGAGGGGGCGGTGGAGACGTCGGCAGCCTGCGAGACTCTGGAGAAGCCCGCCGCAGGCGCCAACGTTTCACAAATTATGCAACGAGCCCGCCGCAGGCGCCGACATTTTCTCCAAACCAATGTGGATCGGTCGCGGGTGGGTCGCGGGTGGGTCGGGGGTGGGTCGCGGGGTGGGTCGCGGGTGGGTCGCAAGTGGGTTTCGGGGTGGATCGCGGGCGGGTCGCGGGGGAGTCGCGGGTGGGTCGCAGGTGAGGCGCGGGTGGGTCGCGGGGTGGGTCGCGGGTGGGTCGCGGGGTGGGTCGCGGGTGGGTCACGGGTTGGTCGCGGGTGGATCGCGGGGTGGGTCGCGAGTTGGGTCGCGGGTGGGTCGCGGGGTGGGTCGCGGGGTGGGTCGCGGGGTGGGTCGCGGGGTGGGTCGCGGGGTGGATCGCGGGGTGGGTCGCGGGGTTGGTCGCGGGGGGGGACGACGACAACAAACAACAGCAACAACAACAACAACAGCACCCACAACCACAACCACAGCCACAACAACAACACCAACACAAACACCAACACCACCAACAACAACAACAGCAGCAACAACAACAATAAAAACAACAGCAGCAGCAGCAACAACAACAACCACCACCACCACCACAACAACAACCACAGCCACAACCACAACCACAACCACAACAACAACAGCAACAACAACAGCAACAACAACGACGCAACAAATATAATATTCACCACGGATTCTCACTTCAGCCAGTCACCCAGGGACAATGAATGACAGTTCGGCCGCCTCACTCTGATCTTGATCATCCAACGATTCAAAAAATCACGTTCCCCCCCCAGGAAGGGTTAACTCTAGTGTAGACTTATGAACTGTTTGGGTCTGCGGTTGGAGGAATAACTCTTGATTTTAATCAGATGGAACGTTGTCGCCGAGAGGTCGAAGTCGCTTGAAACCGTTGTGACCCCGCCTGGCTTTAACATGTCTGCACAGATTGAAGATATTTGCATTGCTGGCATGAGTATCTTCTAAGACGGCCGACGGCTGCCAAGAGGCTTTGAGAGGCTCCGAGCGCGGGTTCAAGCTGTCCGCAGAATGTCCACACATGCCCTGAAGGAGCCGAATATGGTTTCCGAGTGCCGAGGAGGCTCCGAAGAGCAGGCAGAGAGCCCCGAAGTACCCCCCAGCATACCAGAAGAGACCCGACAGCGGTTCCCATGAGGTCCCCAATGCGGTCCGAGGAGGCCAGGCACATCGACCAACCGGTGTTTTCTCTTCGATCCGATCAGGGGTGCCTTTTCGGGCCTTGCGAGCGCGTAAGACAGTTCGAGAGGTCCGCCATGGTGGCCTTAGACGGCCGAAGCTCCCCAAGTGGCTCCCGCCGGCTTTCAGAAGCCCTGAACATGTCCGCACGATTCCACCTACGGCCCTGAGGAGGGCCCCAAGATGTTCTCCAGAGCCAGAGCCTCGCGACCTTAGAATACCCTGAAAGAGTCACCTCTCCCTTCCGTACTTATTCATTCTGGCCCAAGCTCCGTTCTGCCCCAAGCTGCCGAACAGCACTGGCACCCTTCCTTCAGTGGAACGCGCTGAGCCCCAGGAGCACCCGTCTCGACCGAGCATGCACCCTTCTAGCCCAGGGGGCGATGTCGAGCGTGTTCTCTTCGGGGCCGGCTGCACCTACCTGCTGCTCGGCGCTTGCCTGCTGCTCCACGTGCTGGCGCGGGGGCTGCTGCAGCGCACGGTGGTGCCGCTGAGACAGGCTCGAGGACCTATCGTTAAGTCGGGCCTGTCCCTCTACAGGAGGAATATTCGAAAATAGTCAAAACATAGTCGGGGGACTAATTTTGAGTATTTGTGCGCATCTTTGGGGGGATATTTTTCGTCTAAAATTCCCCCTGTAGGGGGGCAGGCCCGACTTAAACCTATCGAACCTGACTGGAAAGACGAGGGCATCAACTCCGATGCGCAGCAGGCGGCGCAGGAGTTCCAGAAGAAAAAACTGTCCCTGATCAAGCCGCTGCTGCCCCTAGCCCACATCGCCAGCATGATCTGCGTCTCAGCGATGTGGTGTGGGGGCACGCTGCCTACGTCGTTTCTTCAGAACTGCAGCGCACTCGCAAACGCCACAATTTGGATGGTCCTCTGGAAGTTTCCGTTCGCACTCACACGAGTTTCTGCCAATTGGATATACTCGGCGATGATGGCTATCCTGAGCACCACGGTGTGGCCAATCGCCGTTTCTGCGGACGCAGTCTTGGTGTACACTGGTGCCACCTGGGTCGTTGCTCTTGGTTTGAGCATTGCGTTCTTGAAACCATGGCTGAATGCGGTCTGGATCTTCGTCATCAACGCAATATCTTGCCTCACTTTGGTTACTGGTCGGCGGGATAGTGGCCAATGTGCCAACGCAGATCCTTTTCGAGAGTCGCTGCAACTCTCAACAATCTCCGTCGTCACTGTGGTGTGCATGTTTGCTTTCGATCGTTTGTTGTACCAAGTAATGCGGCTGGAGCAAGAGGCGCAGTCCTCGCGCAACGAGCTAGCCGCTGCCCAGTCCGTGCTGCGGAGCATTTGCGACGTGGTCGTTGTGGTGGATCACGCGCTACGGCTCAGGGACGACTCGCCAGGGTTGCGCAACATGCTGCTTCTTAACCAGCGCCGGTCCCTGCGGCAGGAGGATCGGGCCAGACGATAGGGGGGCATAGAGAAAGGGAGGGTTACGAAATCTGCTGCATGCAGCTGGTTCCAGCCCCACCAAGGGGCCCATTTCTCGATACATGGCCGCCTCCGACGCCGGGAGGCGCCGGGGAAATCAGCTACGCACGTGAGCTGAGTATCCCCACCCTTTGCTGTCCCCCCTTTTTATCCCCCCCCCTTTTGCTGCCCCCCCTCCTGCTATCCCCCCTCCCCTCCCTTCGCCATCCCCCCTCTGCTATCCCCCCTTGCGTGAGCTGATTCTCCCTCCCCCCTTTGCTGCCCCCCCCCTCCCGCCCGGCCCGAGAGGACGTGCGCAGCTTCCTGGCGTCTGCCGAGGACCGTGCCAAGTTCGACGAGCAGGTGGCGGCAGCCACGGCCGCGGAGCAGCCCGCGGGCGAGGCGCCTCGCCTGAGCGTCGCGTTCCACGTGTCGATGAAGGACAGCGTTGCGTCGGGCACGTCCCTCTACAGGAAGAAGATTTGAAAATTGTTACAAAAAATTGCCTGGGGATTTTTGTTTCTGGTACTTTGAATGTATTTTCTCTGATCGTGTGTTGAGTATGCTTTGTTGGTATGTTTGGTGTTTTTGATCGTGCACTGTTGAGTCGGGCACGTCCCTCTGCTGGGTAGTCGAAGGCCAGACTGGCAGATTGGATTGGGCTCCTGGGGCCAATCTGGCTCGACCAGGTGGGGGGGGGGTTTTGTTGTTCGCCAGGCTGGATTCGCGTTGGCTCCCTTGCCAGGTTGCCACTGTTTGCCAGATTGGGCCCGCCAGATTGGCGCCAGATTGGCTTCGACTACCCAGCTCTACAGGAGGAATATTCAAAAACAGTCAAAAGCAGTCTGGTTTTTTTGGTATATACATGTTTTGGTCAGAGTGAGGGGGCTGAACCGAACGGTCATTCACTGTCCCTGGGTGCGTGGTTGAAGTGGAATTCCGCGATGCGGATTCGTGTTGTTGTTGGTTGTTCTTTGTTGTTTGTTGTTGTTGTTGTCGTCGTCCCACCCACGACCCGCCCCGCGACCCACCCGCGACCCACCCCGCGACCCACCCGCGACCCGCCCGCGACCCACCCCGCGACCCACCCGCGACCTACCCGCGACCCACCCCGCGACCCACCCGCGACCCACCCCGCGACCCACCCGCGACCCACCCGCGACCCACCCGCGACTCACCCCGCGACCCGCCCGCGACCCACCCCGAAACCCCCCCGGCGACCCTCCCGCGACCCACCCCGGCGACCCACCCGCGACCCACCCGCGACCCGACCCCCCGCGACCCACCCGCGACCCACCCGCGACCCACCCCGCGACCCACCCGCGACCCACCCGCGACCCACCCGCGACCCACCCGCGAGCCACCCGCGACCCACGCGACCCACCCGCGAATTTTTCGGCGCCTGCGGCGGGCTTCTTGTGCATTCGTTCCAGGTGGAGAACCTGCGACCCACCCGCGACCCAAACCGCGCCCGCGACCCATCCGCGACCCACCGCGACCCACCCGCGACCCACCCGCGACCCACCCCGCGACCCACCCAAAATTTTCGGCGTCTGCGGCGGGCTTCTTGTGCATTCGTTCAAAGTGGAGAACCTGCGACCCACCCGCGACCCAAACCGCGTTCAGTGTACAAATCAAAATTTTCGGCGCCTGCGGCGGGCTGTTTGTGAATTCCTTCCAGGTGACGGTGGAGAGCCCGCGACCCACCCGCGACCCAAACTACGTTCACCGAACAAGCCAAAATTTCGGCGCCTGCGACGGGTTTCCTTTGCATTCGTTCCAGGTGGAGAACCTGCGACCCAAACCGCGTTCAGTGTACAAATCGAAATTTTCGGCGCCTGCGGCGGGCTGTTTGTGAATTCCTTCCAGGTGGAAGTGGAGAGCCCGCGACCCACCCGCGACTCGCACTACTTTTACTGAACAAGCCAAAACTTCGGCGCCTGCTGTGGGTTTCTTGCGCATTCGTTCCAAACGGAGGAGGAAAAGGAGGAAGAGGGGGAGGAGGCGGAGGAGGAGGAGGAGACGGAGGAGGAGGAGGAGGAGGAGGAAAAGGAGGAAAAGGAGGAAAAGGAGGAAAAGGAGGAAAAGGAGGAGGAGCTGGAGGAGCTGGAGGAGGAGGAGGCGGACGACGACGACGACGACGATGAGGACGAGGACGCGGACGAGGACGAGGAGGAGAAGGAGGAGGAGGAGGAGGAGGAGGAGGAGGAGGAGGAGGAGGAGGAGGAGGAGGAGGAGAAGGGCGCCATCAACAGGGAAGGTGAGGGCCACGAGGTCCGCCGGTTCGACGCCCGCGTCGCCCTGCGCCCGCCCCTCTCACTCTTGTCCGCAGTTGCGGGGTGCTGCGTATGTACACATAACGGGGGACCGGGCCCAGGGGCCAGGGGCCGGGGCCCCGACCGCAAATGTGGGGCCCGGCGCGCTGGCCCGCCTCCGGGAGGCCAAAAAAATCTCGGGGGCGGCAAAGAGGGGGGTGGTGACTAGGGGGGGGGGATATCATGGCGTGGGCCACGAGATTTCCCCAGATTTCATGGCGCCTCTTCTTATCTCATTGCGTCCCTGGCCCCCCGCTGGGCCGCGCACGTGCCGCCGGTCATGATTTGCACCCCCCCCTTTTGGACACCCCCCTCTTGGCCGCTCCCGAAAATCGCCCAGGGGAGCCCTCATCGAGACACCCCCAAGACGCCGTCCAGGGGTCTCTGGCGACGCGCGATACGTTTTATAAGCTGTCCCGGAGGCCCCAAGACGTCCCGAGAGGCCTCTGAGGTGCCGCCCAAGAGCGCCCCGACAGGGCAAAATCGTTGGTTTGCATGGTTTTGTTTCCAATATTTGTTGCATTCTCGCTGTTTCGTGTTTCCGGCGCTGAAGCACCGCCCAAGAAGCTCCCAAAACCGCTCCAAGACGGCCCAAGAGGGCCCCAAGACGGCCCAAGAGAGCCCCGAGACGGCCCCAGAGCCGCCTAAGACGGTGTAAGAGGGTCCCAAAAAGTCTTCAAGAGGGGCACAAGAGAGGGAACGCGAACTGAAAAATCAAGCTCTCCGCCCCAAGATGCCCCCAAGAGGCCCCAAGAGGCCCCCGGGAAACCCCCAAGAGGCCCCACGAGGCCCCCAAGAGGTCGCACGATGCGTTTTAAAGTGCCCCGGAGGCCCCCAAGACGCCCCAAGAGGCCTTTAAGGTGCCGCCTAAGAGCGCCCGGGAAGGGCAAAATCGTTGATTCGTATGTTTCTAATGTTTTTGTTGCATTCTCGCTGTTCCGTGTTTCTGACGCTAAAGCACCGCCCAAGAGGCTCCCCGAACCGCTCCCAGACGGCCCAAGAGGCCCCCAAGAGGGCCCCAAGACGGCACAAGAGAGCCCCGAGATGGCCCCAGAGCCGCCCAAGACGGTGCAAGAGGGTCCCAAGACGGCTTCAAGAGGGGCACAAGAGAGAGAACGCGAACTGAAAAATCAAGCTCTCCGCCCCAAGATGCCGTCAAGAGGCCCCAAGAGGCCCCCGGGAAGCCCCCAAGAGGTCCCGAGAGGCCCCCAAGAGGCCTCAAGAGACCCTCAAGAGACCCTCAAGAGACCCCCAAGAGGGCCCCAAGACGGCCCAAGAGAGCCCCGAGACGGCCCCAGAGGGGCCCAAGACGGCGCAAGAGGGTCCCAAGAAGGCCCCAAGAGGGGCACAAGAGAGGGAACGCGATTTGAAAAATCAAGCTCTCCGCCCCAAGAGGCCCCAAGAGGCCCCGAGGAGCCCCGAGAGGCCCCCCAGAGGCCCCAAGAAGCCCTGGTTGTGCGTCGCACGTGATTGCTCTGAGGTTCTTTAAATGTTGCAGCCTCCAGCAGCCCCCCATATCGCTGCTGGGGCTCAAGCTTTTCAGCGGGTATGCGAGCATACCCGACCAGCGCGATTGGCGCCGTGATCACGTTCCTGGCAGGGTTCGTGGCGCACGACTTGCCCTGGCCCGCGCTGGTGCACGAGGCGAGCGGCCTGCCTCCGCGCAGCGGTCCTGGCCACGAGCTGGAGGCCAGCTCGACGAGCAGCACCTCCACGAGCACCAGCACTGCGCTGGCTTGCTCGTGCCCTGCGCCGCCGGCGCCGAAGGAGCCCGAGCCGGCGCCGCTTCGAGTGGCGGGCTCGGGGCCCGGCGCGACCGTGGAGGTGCCGCTTGCTGCGGTGCTGGGCGGCGGGGCGCTGGCGACGCTGGCCGCTGCTGCTGGCTGTCGGAGCCGAGTGGAGGACCACGCAGTGGCACGCAAGGTGCTCGAGCCGATAGGTGAAGCTCGGATCCACCTGGCCTAGCTGAGTGACGATGGCTGACGACAGTGCTTGCCCTGGGCTCAGGGTACTGGTGACGTACAGTGACGACCCGGGCTGGACGCACGAACGTGTGTTGTTGTGGCCCCACAATGAGGCTCGTACAAGCTGGCAGATCTACACGCCCGGCAACGATCTGTATGCCGAGGACTTCGGCGACTACGCATCGCTCATCCCGATGACGAGGCGGAGGCGGTATCCCCCGGGTGTCAGGAACGTGGTGGTGTTCAACAGGGGGCTGCAGACGGCCGAGCTGGTCTCGCTCATCAAACGCGGTCGGGGAGAAGCCGTCCTCGAGCACGGGCCGCCAGCGAACGGCTGGTGGGCCGGCGCTGGCCAGGATTGGCTCGGAGGCAGGATGGACATCCCCGCGCCGACGGCCGTGGAGGTCCCTCGCGCGCGGCGCCGCCTGCGCAAGATCGTTGATGGAAGCCCGCCACCCCCGCCGCCGCCTACGGAGCGGCCACCAGGATCGTGGGTGCGTTGTTCGCTCGAGGACAGCAACTTCGGCCAGATGGTGCCCCTCTCCGCGGCTGCCATCCTGCGGGGCCGCTACGGGCTCGACAGGGATGAGACGGGCGAGTGGCGGCTCATAGAGTATGTGGAGGACGATCAGGCCAACATCTGGCGAGATGACAAGCTGACGGCGGCGGATCGGCAGGGACCTCACCGAAGCGCCCTCGGGGATCGGCTCTTCGGCGGTGGCGGAGGCGGCACCGCAACGCCCCCTGCGGAGCCCACGGTTGCGGGCGTCGTAGCTGGCCCTGGCGAGGAGCAGGCTGAGGATTTACGCGCGTGCTGGATCGATGTTGACGAGACGGGCTCGAGGTTCAAAGAATGGCGCAAGGTAGTGCAGGAGAGCTCGCAAGAGGTGCTCTCGGACTCAAGCCTGCGCGGGCCGCCGGCTTGCCTGGATGTGTGCCGTGAGATGTATCGCCACGGCGGTGCGCCCGAGATCTGGTTCCAGGAGTGGCGCAAGGAGACAGGGATCTCTCGTCGGGATCGCGCCTACCATGAGGTGCAGACTCTCATCGAGTGTTTGTATCTCGCGGGCACCTACGACCAGGTGAACATGGGAGCGCAGGCGTCGCTGGAAGTGATCGCCCGCCGGCTGCTGCAGTATACGGAGGCGTGCGCGCACGGTGCCGACCACGCGAACTGGGCGGGGGCGAAGCATCTGGCAGGGACTACGAACCCGCTGGACCTGGTGCCCGAGGCGCTGCGTAGCTACGCCAGCCGGCTAAGCAAGGAAGAGCACGAGCTGGAGGCGTTGCGGGCGCGGGCCAAGACGCCTACGGCACCTTCGGCTGAGGGCGGTCGTGGCGCTGCGGCTGCCGCGGTGGACGCTGGCGGCTTGCCGCTCGGAGGCGGCGCTGGAGGTGGCGGAGCTGGGGGCGCTGCTGATGCTGGTCGTGGTCGCAGCCGTGGCCGAGGGCGAGGCGGGCGGGGCCGTGCCCCCCGCCCGCCGGCATCATGACGTCCTTGGCGGAGGGGGGCGGGCGCCCGACCGCTCCCTGCAGACCGAAGGGCACCAGTGGGCTTCGCGGCGCTCCCTTCCTGCCGCTGGCCCACCTGAGCGAGCTGCCTCCCGAGTGGTGTGAGGGGCTCAGCGCGGCGCAGCGCCGGCGCTGGCTACGGGGCGGCAGCGCTGCCTGCGAAAGCTTGAATTACTTGCACGGAGGCATCCACCGAGGCGGTCGGGCACCAGTGAGCTTGGCCAGCCAGATGAAGAAGGATGCCATTTCGTCGGACGTGCAGCACCGCGTCTTCTCGGCGGCTCGCCAGTGGATAGACGTTGACAGCGCCGTCAGTGAGGAGGAGGCCTTTGCCGGGCTTCTTAAGGGCAAGGCGGGGTGCGCCCCCCTTGGCTCGTCCGCTTGGACGAGGCGGGCGCGCGTCAAGAGGAGGTCGTTCCCCGAGAGGCCGCCGAGAGGGCCACCGTGCGCGACGAGTTGAACTTCTACCTGGGCATCACGGTGATGCTGGAGTCGAGCTGGACGAGGCCGTGGGCGCCAGTGGTCTACTCCTCCGACGCCAGCCTGCACGGCTACGGCGTTGCGGAGGCCTGCTTCGGGGCCGAGGCCGTGGCGGAGGTCGGCCGCGTTTTGGAGCTGGCGCGGCGGCGGCTGGGTGCTGGGCTGGCGAGGCAGCACGCCTTCGAGTGCGCCGGCTTCCTCCTGGATAGCGAGACCGGCGAGGTCGTCCGAAGCGGCTGGACGCCGAGCTCCAGCGCGTGCTGGCCAGCGAGCGCTGGGAGCTGGACCCGAGCTTCCCCGAGGTGCCCAGCTGGCTCCTGCACGACTCGCATTGGGCCACGGTCATGGCCGATCGGTGGGCGTTCGCCGACGATATCCTTTGACTCGAGGCACGGGCGCTAGTGAAGGCTGCAGCTCGTGCCGCGCACTGCCAGCCTGTAAAAGAATGCCGCTCTCTTTTGCTAGGAGATAATATCGCTGTCGTGTTGTGTTTTTGCAGGTTCAGGTCCAGGGATTTCCGGCTTCTAATTCAGGTCCGCCGTTTTGCTGCCCTATGCCTTGCTAGAGACATTAAGTTTGTTGTTCGTTGGATTCCGTCTGAGTTCAACTCTGGCGACGAGGGAAGTCGAAGGTTCGATCCAGCTTATGATGCCCAGAAGTCCTTCGTTACCCATCTTGGCTCGAACTTGCTGTCACCCCAGGTTCCTGCGAGCCCCGTCGATGCTCCCGCGGCGGGGGCCCGTGGCAGGAGAGAGCAGTCGGCGGCTGACGCTGAGCCGACCTGCGGTGCCGATGCCAGCCACCCCGCTCGAGACGGGCGGGAGGTGGGCGCGGGCGCTGGGCAGCCCTGGTCGCCGACTGGAGTCAGGGGGGCTGCCGCCGACGCAGAGGTCCCGCTCGGTGGATCAGAGCCGCGGGCTAGCCGCGAGGCTGGTGCTGGAGGGCGCTGCCCGACCGCCGCGGCAGAGCTCAGTAGCTACTTGCTTGCGGCTGAGCCCCCGCGAACCCCGCCTGGCCGACAGGGCCGTTGCAGGCCACGGGGTTGCCGAGGTCGCGGCGGAGAGCGAGAGCGTCGTGAGCAACGACGCCGAGGGGCCGCCGGCTGCTGGGCGCTCCCGAAGGCGTCTGGAGCCGCGCGGGAAGGCGCGGATCAGGAAGGCGATCGGGGCGCTCGAGACCGCAGAGTCGGGCAGGGACGACGTGAAGTTGAGCATCAGCTACCTCGGGAAGAGATCGGTGGGGACGGGCACTTTGGAGACCTACCGCCAGCGCGTGCTCTCATACTGCGCCTGGGCCCGCTGCTGCCTCGCAGCCCTGCCCGAGCTCAAGGGGCTCGACGGCCAGCTGGTCGAATGCATGAGCGAGAAGTCCTTGACGGGCGTCAGTGCCTGGCGGGGCGGGAGGCCGCTGGGCGGGCTGATGTTCTTCCACCCGGACTTCGGCCGCCTGGGTGGGCTACATCTACCGAGATCACTGCGCTGCCTGGGACGGGGGGAGGAGCCTTCACCATCTCGCTCTCGGAAGCCCTTGGTGTCCGCGATCTGGTCGGCGTTGGCAGTGGACCCCTGCCGCCTGGGGGCGCCTCTGGTAGGCGCGATGGTGCTGATCATGGTAGAGTGCCCCCTTCGGCCAGGAGAGATGCTGAGCCTCACGAGCGACCCATTTCTAGCGCCGACGGAGCATGCAGTGCAGATCTGGGTTGTATGGCTGTTTCCAGGGGCTGGGGTGACTCTCAGCAAGGTGGAGTCAGCGGACGATGCTATCCCTTGCGAGTCAGGACGTTTGCCGTGGACGTGTCGCATCTTCAAGGCCTTGAAGGATCGTCAGCCATCCCGGCCCCTCCTGGATTTGAGCTACCCGCAGTGCTTGACCCTCTTCCGGAGAGCGGCCACGCACATCGGAGCCGACGTCGTCGCATACCAAGGCCGGCACAGCGGCGCATCGCTATATCGGGCAACGGGACGACGCTTTCTGGGAGAGGTGCAAAGAAGAGGGCGATGGACGGCGATGACTCCGATGAGGAAATACGAAAAGTCAGGACGATTGAACGAGGGCCTGGTGAAGCTGGGCGATGCCTCCATGGCACACTGCGCCGCGGCGGCGAAGCTGGTGCAGGCTGTGCTGCTGCTGGGGCGGCCCGCGCTTGTGCCGCCGTTCGGCGGCCTCGAGGGCTTTCGCGAGCTCCGCTGAGGTCGCAACTGGCCGCTGTTTCTGCGCCGTATCTGCTGGATCTCTTTTCTGGCGGGGGCGGAGTCGGAGGCTTTGCCGCGCGACTGGGTTTCAATCCAGTGTCGTTGGACCTACGAAATGGGAAGGATCAGGATGTGTGCAGTGCCAATAATCTAGATGCGATTCTCGTCCATTTTAGAGCTGGGCTTGTCAGAGCAATCATGTTGGCACCTCCTTGCTCTTCGTTCTCTCTGGCTCGGAACAGATATCCTGTCAGAAGTGCGCAATATCCAGAGGGCCTGCCATCCCTGCGTCCAGCCGACCAGACTACGGTCAGGATAGGAAATTTATGTGAGCGCGTGGCTGTGTACATCGCACGGTTGTGCCAGGTTTTCGGAGTGCCGTTCGCCTTAGAGAACCCACAGACTTCGTACATGTGGCGATGCCGGGATATCATGAAGCATGTTTTAAGTTGTAGCCGCACTCTGGATCTGCATCAGTGCGCTTTCGGATCCAGGTGGCGGAAAGCGACCAAGTTGGCCCTGGGATGTGTCACGGAGGCGGGGGACTTCGCTTTAAGCCACCCGGGTGCTCTGCGTTGTCGAGCAAACACGGGTACTGTTCCTTCAGGCCTGGCCATAAACATGTCTTGTTGAAAGGAAAGGCTATGACCTTGAAAGCCGCGGCGTACCCCTCTCGCTTCGCTCGTTTCCTGTGCACTGTTCTGCTCGACTTGTGAACAAAGGTGATCGGCTTGTGGCATACCATCTCTTATCATATGCAGAGGTTGACGCCTTCCCCGACATGCGCTGAATGGTCTGTACCGCTACGCTGAGAACTTCGGCTTTGCGAAAATGTTGGAGCGTGCTCGCCGTTTGCACGTCTCGATAACCTGGTCGCGACCATATGGTATCAGAGTTCACCACGGAAAAGACGTCGGAGCATGGTTGTGCGTCGCACGTGATTGCTCTGAGGTCCTTTAAATGTTGCAGCCCTCCAGCAGCCCCCCATATCGCTGCTGGGGCTCAAGCTTTCCCACCCTCAGCCACCCTGGACCTGCCCTATATAGTGCACGCCCCTTTTTAACTTTATTCACACCCTCCTCTCGTCAGGAGTGTGCTCGCCGTTTGCACGTCTCGATAACCTGGTCGCGACCATATGGTATCAGAGTTCACCACGGAAAAGACGTCAGAGCAAAAAGAGTCTCCAAAACCTCCCAAGACGGCACCCAAAAGGTTTCAAAACTCTTTCTAAGAGGCCCCCGAAGACATACCAAGAAGGTCCCATGACAGCTTGAAGAAGCGGTCCAGGATGCCCCGAGGAGGCCCCAAGAGGCCCCCAAGAGAGCCCAAGAGGCCCCCAAGAGGCCCCCAAGCGTCCTCAAGCAGCATCCAGGAGGCCGGAAAGAGGTCCCCAAGAGCCCAGCGGTCCAGGCGGGGGCGAACATTTCCAGCCCTGCGCTCCCGGAAGCCCAACAGGAATCCCGAAGAGTTCGACCATCCAGCCCAGCTAGAACTTGAGCGCGCGCGAAGCGCGCGCGCGCGATGGTTCTAGTTTTGAATATGGATTGGATGTGTTGTGAGTCTGTTTTATTTTTCGTCCAAATTCTGCCTATATGGGGACATGCCCGACCTAAGGATAGCGCTGGGATCACTCTGGAGGTTGAGGTGTTCGTGGTGGGGTTCCTCAAGGAGAAACAGCAGTTGCATCTCGTGGGCATCCGCGAGCAGCAGTCCGGGGAACGTGCGGCGGAGCTCCTGAGGTCTGAGGGCAATGCGGGGCCACTCCTGACGATTGGCCTGCCCCGCGACGAGGGAGACGAGCGAGTCCGCTCGTCCTCGTCCTTGCCTTCTGCCAGCTCGTCCGCTGGGACCCTCGAGGACGCCAACGTCAGTGCCTGCGTGGATCTGTTGAGCCCAGCATGGAAGATCGAGAGTGTCACCGGCGCGCTCCAGACGTGCATGAGGCTCTCGGAGGAGGAGGACGGTTTCCTCCCGCTGGTGAAAAACAGCCAGAGGGAACGGCTCATCTCCTTCGCCCAGAGTGCGTACTTCCAGCTCGAGGAAAGGGGCGCTCCGGCCACCTTCGGGGAGCCCATCTGGCTGCGCTCGGCGTATATGCGCCGCCTGAACCTCTGCATCTCCGCGTCCTTGCAGCTGGACTGGTGCCCCTCGACTTGCCCACTGTCGCAGGGCAAGAAGATGCTGGTTCGCATGAGCCTCGTCGAGATCAGCTGGGTCAGCAGCAGTCGGTGCAAGCCCCGCGCGATGGGGAAGCCCCACCGGACCCACCGCGTCTTGCGGCCATCCCCGCACCCGGACGCCACACTCCGCTTTCTTTAGGTCTCCGCTGCTGTCCCATCCTTCCCGCGTAATCTAGAGGCTAGGGTGTCGGGCCTTGCTTTCTATGGCCTGGGGCACAGAGCATAGGACAAGGACTCTATTGAACAAGGCGAGGGAATGGAGGGGAAAAGGAGGACGGGATGGGGAGATGCAGGGTCTGGGGAGAAGGGGGAAGGGATGGGGATGAGACGGCGCTGTCCGGGGAAGTGTTGCCCAGGCGAACGCGCCCGAGCATGCCCAGGAATTGCCAAAGAACCGCCCTGTGCCGATCCACTGCCAGGCTGTGGCTGAAGATGCCTGCAGGCCTGTGCGTTCTGGGAGCCACCATTCGGCCAATGCTGGTTGGTGGAGGCGGATCGGGGGCCGACTGGTGTGCCCGATCCGAGCCAAGACGCACAGAGAGGAGGCCGCCGTGACATTACATCTCGATGTAGTTGAATTCAAGAGAGCGCTTGGGCAGTCAGATTTGCCAGATAAGCCGATACAGTCGGGGCCCTGAAGAAGGAACCCTTTTCGTTGGGGAGGGGCTCCGCGTTCCCTAAGTGTTTCACAGCTTGCCTCAGGCTTTCCTTATGTCTTCGACAGGAAATCGAAGGTTAACTTATGGAAAGGAGGGGCCTCGTTCCTTATTTTGGGTTCCTTAGGTCAAGCCCCCGACTGTAAGCTGATAGAGCGAATGGGGCCTCCACTGAATTTCCTGGCACGTTCCAGTGCGGTCTCACGCTCGAGTCGGCTGCTGGTCAAATGCCGCCCCGTCAGTCAGAAAACCATGCGGGATAATTATCGTCATCCCTTCACCTGCCTTCTTTCTGCACCTCGTCGTCTCTGTCTCTCTTCAGCTGGTCTCCTCTCCCCAGCCACCTCCTGCTACTCCGATCCCCCCCGCGCCAGTTCTGCGTGGCCCGGCGCCGCTCCTCTCTGGTTTCGCGCCGCGCTCCTCTCCGGCGCCGTCCTGGTGCTCGCGCCTCTCCTGCTTGACGCCGGATGTGCCTCGCTCCCCGGCCTCTGCCGCGGCGCACTCGACGGCCTCAGCCCAGCTGCGACGGGAACGCGGGATGTCCTCCTCCTCCTCCTCCTCCTCCTCCTCCTCCTCCGCCCTCCTCCTCCTCCTCCTCCTCCTCCGCCTCCTCCTCCTCCTCCTCCTCCTCCTCTTCCTCCTACTTCTCCGCCTCCTCCTCCTCCTCCTCCTCCTCCTCCTCCTCCTCCTCCTCCCATCGAGCAGTTTCGTGGGGCGTGGGGGCGGGTGCGTCCGGGGTCTGATTCAGCGGGAGGCCACGACTCGTCAGGAGCGAAAGGAGGACGTACACGTACACGAGTCCACGCTGGTGTCGAGAGTGCGCACCGCGCAAGTAATCGTCTACAACGCGGCCCGTCTCGCAGATCGAGGGGCCGTGTTCCTGTGCATAGCTGGGCGCGTACGCCCTTGATGGGCTCCCTGACTCCTGGAGTTTGCAGGCCGTCCGTGGCCGACCGAGCGCGAGCGCCCGTGCGCCCCTGCGGCCAGCGGGAGCCGCCCCGCGCCTCGCGGCCCCCGTCGAGGAGCTTCGGGGTGGGCAAGGATCAGCCACGCGCAGAGGGAAGCGGGGGGAGGGGGGAGGGCTTCTTAGAAGCATCCCTGCTTCCTAGCAGGCGCGGGCCTTGTCTGCAGATGTCAGGCCGGCGCCGTCTAAGAAGCAGCCTCCCTCTAAGAAGCCCTCCCCCCTCCCCCCACCCCCTTTTGCGCGCCACCAAAAGGAGCGGCAGAGGAGCACGGGGTCGAGGATGGGGGCCGGAGAGTTCAAGCAGTGGCGAAACGTCCTGGCTCGCCTATAGCCCTACCGAACAATGTTCTGAGAACCTTTTGTGGTCTCCACGAGGTGTTCTTGGAACGTTTCTGGCGGAGCCTGTCTTGTCTTCGCACATCGGGCTTGTGTTCTAAGAACACGGCTTTCGTTCTTAGAACATGTCTGGGTTCTGAGAACATATCGTGGTAGGACCACAGGAATGCCGGGACGGTCGGCCCCTGCTCAACACATCTCCCTTCTCCATCCACGCGCGCGCAGGGACAGAGTTTGACAGCTCGGCCTGGACAACAGAAGGCAGCGGAGCCAGAGGATGCGCAGAAGGGCCCGCAGGGGCTTGAAGTGGGTGCCCGCCTGGTCGTGGAGGAGAGGATGGAGGCGAGTATGATTCGGGCATGGCCTTACGGTAGGTTCGCGTCGTGTCGACCAGCGGCGACCCCAGCGCGGACGTTCAAGGTTGAACGCCGCCGGCGACCCAGAATCGATCGATGTTGAACGATCGGACGTTGCGGCAGCGGCCGATCGTTCAAGGTTGAACGATCCCTGCGGTGTCAAAAACCAACGCCGGGGTCGACACGACACGAACCTGCCGTATGTTGCTCCCATCCTACTTAAGGACCGCATCCCATAGGAGTGCCGGGACGGTCGGCCCCTGCTCGAGGAGCGGAGAGAAGACGACCGTTGGCGGGCTCGCTGGTTCGCCGCGCTCCCGCCGCCCGCCCCCCCTCCTGCGCGCCTCGCGCCCGTCGCCGACACGCGGGGCAGGCGCCCCTCGCGAGGCGCGAGGGCGTACTGAGCACGGTCTCGCTGCCGCGGAGAGGGGGCGCTCCGGGTCAGCAGCTCCGTCGTGCAGCCAAGACGCTGAAAGAAGGAAGACGAGGAGGAGGAGGAGGAGGAGGAGGAGGAGGAGGAGGAAGGAGAGAGGGAGGAGGAGGAGGAGGAGGAGGAGGAGGAGGAGGAGGAGGAGGAGGAGGAGCAGGGTGGAGTCGGAAGGGGCCCGAGGGCCCTCGCGGTCCTCCGCGGCTGCTCCTCCGGCCCTGCTCGCGCACAGAGGGGCCTTTTCCGATAGCCGCAGAGGGGGCTTCGTTCCTCCTTGCGCGGTCCGTAGTGCAGCAGCCCGACTGTACAGGGCCGTTGTTATTGTACATGCTCTGCGTGCGGACCGCGCATTAGAAATAGAGGGCTGATGGATAAGTGCAAGGATAAGCTCATGCATGCACGTATTCGTACATTAACCGTGTACAGTCGGGGCGCCGACGAAGGAACCCTTTTCGTGGGGGAGGAGCTCGGTGTTCCCTGATTGTTTTACAGTTTGCCTTGGGTTGTCCTTAGGTCTTCCGTGGGGGAATCGAAGTTTAAGTGAAGGGAAACAGGGGCCTCGCTCCTTATTTGGGGCTCCTCAGGCCAACGCCCCGACTGTATTAAACACCCTATGTATGTAAACATCCTATGTATTAAAAACTGCCCTGCAGTCTCAGGGGCGCTCGCTCGTCGCAGCCTGCCAGGGCACCCACCCCGAGAAGACAGCGGTCTGTAATGCTCGATCGGCTGTCGTTTCTACACTTGTGCAGCCGCCGTCCGCTGCGACGAACCGCCCCCCCGGCCCCTTGCCACCCTGTCTAGGTAAGGGTACGGGTATCTTTCGCGCTCGAGACCAATGTTTTTGTTTGGAAGAAAATCCCATGTATTAAAAACTGCCCTGCAGTCTCGGGGGCGCTCGCTCGCCGCAGCCTGCCAGGGCACCCGGCTGCCCCGGGCGAGTGCACCAAATCGCGCCCGCGGAGCGCTCCTGCGTGGCGGCGCGCCGAGCGTCGCCCAGAGGGGGCCACCACACTGTCAGGAGAGGAAAAAACACACAGACACAATGAATCGTCGATTCCCAGGAAAGCATGGGAAATCTGGGAAGAGGGGGGGGAGATAAGAAACCAGAAACTATGGGAACATATGGGGAATCTGTTTTATGTGTGTGTATTTATTTGTGTGTCCTGGGGCCCCTTCACATTGGCATCGCTCGAACGTGTGCATGTTTCTTTCGGCGAGGGCCATCGAGGAGCATCCCTGATGAGTTGGCGGAAAAGACACGCACGACACCGACAAAAAAGCACGGGGAATGGACGTCCGAGCGATGGCCAGGAGACGGCTCTCGTCTCCACTCCGTGAGGAGCTCTCGCGAGGCCTATTTGGTCCGTCGTTGGGGCTGTCTTGGGCTACCTTTGGAGCAGGCTCGAGGGTCCCCTGGGGCTCTCTTGAGCTGTGCTCGGGCCCTCTTGGGGCCCCATTGAGTCGTCTTGGGTCGCTCTTGGCCGTCTGGGGTGTCTCTTGGGGCCGTTGTTGGGCCATACTGGGTCTTTCTGGAAGCCCGCTTGGGCCAGCTTGGGGCTCTGCCAAGTAAGTCATATTCAGGCTCACTCAGACTCAGACTCACTAACATTCAGACTCACCCATTCACTCACTCACACACAGACAGCTCGCAGACATATGCACCCAGACTCAGTTCAATCATACTTCAGTCTCACTGACAATCAGACCCGCTCACACTCAGATCCACTGATACTCATACCCGCCCATACCCACTCATATTCAGACTCGCTCACACTCAAACTCACTCCCGCACAGACCCACTCTCACACAGACTACTCACGCTTACACTCCGACTCAGTGACACTCAGGCTCTCTTGTTTTCAGAGCCCCATGCCCATCGCGATGCAGCAGGCGTGGCAGGCATTTGGGCACCCCAAGGATCAGCCCCCACGGAGGGGGATACTTGCCCGTTCGCGCCCAGATTGCGGGTATGTCTCAGGCAGTTTGCCTCTGCGGTGGCCCCAACTTGTTCTTTTCGAGGCTCCAGTGCTCCTCGCGATGTAGCAGGCGTGGCACTTGAGCACCTGAAGGGCGAGCCGCCAGGGAGGGGGACACTTGCCCGCTTGCGCCCAGAATGTGCGAAGGTCTCAGGCGGTTTGCCTGTTTGGTGGCCCAGACTTATCCAAGCATTGTGTGTTCTAGCATTATCTGCTGTGCAATGGATATTGTGCCACATATTCCTACCTATACGACCACCCTTCGGGTGAGAAGGAGTATGTGGGGGGTAGAGGGGGGAACCAACATCTGACTCAATCGATCTCATTATCGATCTCACACCACGGGGTACCACGGGACACCACGGGACACTTGTCGATCTCACTATCGATCTCACGATCGGTTTCATTTAACGGGACATTACGGGCCACCGCGGGACACCACGGGACACCACAACGATCTCACTATCGGTCTCACTATCGATCTCATTATCGATCTCACTCAACGGGACACCACGGGACACCTGCCGATCTCACTATCGATCTCTCTATCGATCTCACTTTTTGGGACACCACGGGACACCTCGGGGCACCACATCGATCTCAGTATCGATCTCACTCAACGGGACACCACGGGACACCACGGGACACTTGTCGATCTCACTATCAATCTCACTATCGATTTCTTTTGTTAGGACACCACAGGACACCTCGGGGCACCACATCGATCTCAGTGTCGATCTCACTATCGATCTCACTATCGATCTCACTCAACGGGACACCACGGGACACCACGGGACACCGCGAGCCACCGCCGGACGGACGGACGGGCGGGCGGGGAGCGAAACATGTGTCTTGACTTCGCCCTAGCAACGGCTGACACCGCGGGACACCATTGGACACCACAGGACACCGCGGGACACCGCTAGGGCCACTGCCGGACGGACGGACGGACGGACAGACGGGGGAGCAACATTTTCCTTGACTTCGCCCTAGCAACGGCGGACACCACGGGACACCACGGGACACCGCGGGACACCGCGAGCCACCGCCGGACGGACGGAGGGGAGCGTCACATTTGTCTTGACTTCGCCCTAGCAACGGCTGACACCGCGGGACACCATTGGACACCACGGGACACCGCGGGACACCGCTAGGGCCACCGCCGGACGGACGGACGGACGGACAGACGGGGGAGCAACATTTTTCTTGACTTCGCCCTAGCAACGGCGGGTTCATTCCCCTCGCGCGCCCACGCAGCTTCGCCTCGCCCGCACGCACGACACGAACGAAACGAAGCGATTTCCCGGTTGGGGGTCTCCGTTCCATTGCGATCTCGCCCCCCGATTTCCGATTCATACATTTTTATTACCCGGACCCCCCCCACACCCCACCTCGTAAACCGGACCCCCCCCCGAGACGCCCCGGACGCCCTTTCGGACGTCTCGACGCCCAGCTGCTGGAGAGCACCCCGAGGCTGGACAGCCGCCGAGAACCGCCGAAGGTGCCCGACAAACCTGGA